GCGATACAACATTATTAATAAGTAAATTACACAAACCATAAAGGGCAGGCAAGAATGAATGGCATTCGAAGGTGTTACTTAGCAGTGCAGTACGTCTCGTTCGAGCAAACGGACGAAATGATAAAATGGAAGTAATGACTCAACATTAATTGGAGAACGAATACAGTGGACTCCCGATAATCCGGCACCCCTTGTAATCCAACATGGTCTATTATTTATTATGTATTGAATATTTTTTTGACAATCTTCGCTAATGCATGATTGAACNACTTAGCAGTGCAGTACGTCTCGTTCGAACGAACGGACGAAATGATAAAATGGAAGTAATGACTCAACATTAATTGGAGAACGAATACAGTGGACCCCCGATAATCCGGCACCCCTTGTAATCCAACATGGTCTATTATTTATTATGTATTGAATATTTTTTTGACAATCTTCGCTAATGCATGATTGAACAAGTTGTAACTTATACGCACCACCACTATTGTGCTCGACGCCTAGAGTATTGTTTTGATTCTGATTTTCTAGTTTAAATTTGACTACATGTGTTTATTCATTGTGTATTACGTATTCGTACCTAGTAATGTCGTCACAAGCTCAGAAGCGAAAGCACAAAACACTGACAATTAAAGAAAAATCTGATATTTAGACCGCCTAAATCGTAAGTCTTAGGCAGTACTCTATAATCCGACAAATTCGCTAATCCTACACTGCCCTGCAAACTGTTTGTTGGATTACCGGGGGTCCACTGTACTTTAAAACATTCTGGTACAGGATACAGTCTTGGAAACAGAAATATAATTAAAAACATTTCTGTTCCGTATTGGATATGTCGACCTAGATTAGATTACTGTTCGCAAATAGTTAAGGATGCGGGATGTTCTAGTTTTGGGGAAATGCGAAAATTAGCTCCGGATAGGAAGAAGTGGAAGTGCGTATCCAACCAATCTTGAGACTGACGATCTCATGATGATGATGACCGGATATTTAATAGAACATCGTTATTGCAGCATCCTATAGCAGAGATCGGCAAACCGCAGCTCATGTGCTACATGCGGCTCTTCCAAGAGATAATTGCGCTTCTGCATGTTCCCTTAAAAAAATTAAAAGCTAAAGCGGAACGGACTGACACTCAGCACACCCTTATACCTACAACAAGAGACATGCACATTATGACTAACAATACAATGCATCTCAACGCACTAAATCTAAATCTTCAAGGAAAAGGATCCACTGCATTCTCATTAATGATTTTGAAAAAAACAAATGCTTCTTTTGGCAGAAGAACGATCAAAACAATGAAGGATGGTTATGCTGAACGATTACATAAATAAGCCTGCCTTGACTTTCATTGCGAATTCTCTCGAAGCAAACAGAAAACTAATTTTTACTCGTATTTAATATAAGTTCTGGTTTATTTGAAGTCCAATTACTACATTTAAAAAGCGAGTTCAAAATTTACTAGTCTAAGTAGTAGATCATAAGAGCTAGAAAGGTAGAAATGTCTTTCGATATAGCAATATAATTGTACAGCTCTAAGAGGGATGCCTAATATCTGAGACACTAATTCTCGATACTTGGAATAGTCTTCCGGAATACTGTGACCAAATAAATAAATGGCTTTTGGTATGATGAAGATCTTTGGGTCAATATATTCGTCCGAACAAGTTTTCTCTTCTATAAACTTAATAAACAACAATCTATGAAGCAAATAACTAATCAAAATTTAGAGTCAAATCCTAAACTAAAAACTGCATCGGAGTTATCGTTATAACTGATGTTGTTATTCACTGTATGTATGTGTTTACGTAAAGTACTAGAATTTTATGGATGATGTAGGGATGGAACATAAACCGCCTTTAAAGACGAGGGTAAGGAAGTCTCTTAGGAGGATGATTAGCGCCCATATGGATGAGTCTAAATCTGTCTGTCTGCGCCTCCTCTGTTGTTGTTATTTTAATGACATATTTCGTTAAATGGTTTTTATTTCCTTAAATTTTTAACAGTTCAGTATTATTCAATTATACCATACACATTCACGTTCTTAGAACAATTGTATTAGTAAAAGTAAACTGTGGGGCCCAGTTGGTATGTTATTAATAAAAAAAAAATGCCTGAAACAACCCTCTGGGCAGGCGAATCCGTTAATAACGTTTCATGAAAACGCAGAATTAAAACCAGCCTCGTGGGCAGAAAATAATTACTACGATTCTAACAGAAAATTTCAGTGCTCATGGTAAATCCAATGAATAATAAATAGAAGAAAATGTCGTTGTCTCCTATACTTACTACCACTAGGTAACACTACAGTTAACTTTCTATTGCGGGAAACGATTAGTAGTCTTTCTTTTTAATTTGCATGCGAATTCGCAGATCTCACCAAATCACCATACGCATTTATGGAAAACCAATTAACAGTCATTGTTAATAGGTACCTAAGTTTGAAAGTATTTTTTATAATATATACTAGGATTATATAAAGAAGTATTGAATTGTTTTTTTGTTCATATGTGGGCATGTGGGGGTAATCTTTGGAACGACTGAACTGATTTTAATTCTTCGATTACTGGGAACAAGCAGACATGATATTTTAAAGATTTTTTCTCTATTACCATTCGCCTGTGATCTATCAACTCTTTAAGAACTAGTACGGGAATACAACTCACTCACAAAAATAAATTACTACTTTTTTCAAAAGTAAAATTATTATAAGATCATATGGAACCTACGGCATTCCCATACATGGTTTCAAATCTCGTATGAACCTGATGCAGTTGCAGCTGAGTTAAAGATACGGTAACAGTATCCAGAAAACCAATTTGAAACCTTATATGAAAAATTGTATCACCAAAATAGGATACAATCGATCAATGTTTCTCCAAAACTTAGCCCATATCAACAATAAGTGTCATCATAATTTAACTGGTAGAATTTTACCTTTTTTCTACAGTATTTCTACAAGTATTAGTATCAAAATCCAACTAGATAAGTCCGAAGGAAATATAGGGTTGTTCGGAAAGTCATTTCGTTTCTTTTGTGGAAATGAAAGACAGTTTTCGTATAATAAACAAATACTTTATTAAATTATATATTGACCGTTCTGGTCCAACACCTTTTGCCATCTTTCTGGTAGTAGCATAATTCCACGCTCATAAAATTTTTGGTCTTTGCTGGCAAAAAACTGATCGAGGAGGTTTTTGACCTCCTCATTTGAGGTGAAGGTTTTACCGTCTAAAAAATTTTGGAGTGACCGGAACAAATAATAATCCGATGGTGCCAGGTCTGGAGAATATGGTGGGTGTAGCATTGTATCCCATTCAAGCTGTAAAAGCTTTTGGCGAGTGACCAAACTTGTGTGAGGTCTCGCGTTGTCTTGGTGAAACACTACACCTTTCCTGTTGATTAGTTCTGACCTTTTCTGTTGAAGTGCATCATTCAGTTTGTCCAGCTGATGACAGTAGACTTCCGAATTAATCGTTGTGTTATCCGGTAAAAGCTAAAAAAAAACGATTCCTTTAAAATCCCACCAAACAGACAGCATCACCTTTTTTTGGTGAATATCGGCTTTGGAAATGGTTTGAGCCGGTTCATCTTTTTTGCTCCATGACCTCTTGCGTTTGACGTTGTTGTATACAACCCATTTTTCGTCCCCAGTGATGATGCGCTTCAAAAACGGATCATTTTCGTGACGTTTGAGAAGCGAATCGCAGACGTCAATGCGGCGACACAGATTTCTCTCTGTGAGAACATGGGGAACCCATACATCGAGCTTCGAGGATAATCCCAGGCCTTTCAAGTGGTCATAAACTGTTGAATTTGATAAATTTAACCTCAATCCGATCTCACGTGTTGTTATTCGCCGGTTCACATCAACTAATGCCTTTATCGCGTCTTTATCAGCTTCAACCGGCCTTCCCGAACGTGGTGCATCTTCGACATCAAAATTGCCGGATCGAAATTTAGCGAACCAGTTCTGGCACTGGCGTACTGTCAACACACCTTCTCCATACACATCAGTCAATTTCTTTCTGGCTTGAACAGCATTTTTACCCTTTCTGTAGTAAAAATGCTGCTTATCTCTCTCCATTCACACACAAGCCTTGCTTTATGAGCTCTCAAAGCATATAAAAATTATACGGCTTAAATGTGGAGTTGGGTGCAAAAGAATACAATTAAATCGTCTGTCGGGGAAAAACGAAATGACTTTCCGAACAACCCTATAGAAAGGAGCACATCATGCAAACAAACGTTTCCTTTTTTGAATATATGAAAATGGCATTCAAAACATTGTACATTGTACATTATTAATATTATGCCTGATAAGAACTCATCAGCATAAAACAGGAAGAGTCAGCAATACTTAGTAGGTACCATGGCCCCTCTTTTCCATTGGGCATTCTGGGCAAGTGCCTAGGACCCCGCGATCGACGGGGGTCCCCTAGTTTCTGCCAGATCCATCCACCAATTGAAAACCAATTTTTGTTACCGATGGGGGCAATCAACGATTAATTACAAAACAAAATTGAAAACACACTTCCCAATGTATAAAGTGTATTTAGAAGCTTTTTATGCATGATGATAACTAACGGCATTGGAGAGCGCTCTTTCTCCAAATTGAAAAGAATAAGAAAATGAATATAACGCTTCCATCAAGGCTCTACTGTATTACAATTATCTATTCCTTTATCGTGACTGTAAAGAAACAAAAAAATTATTCAACAAATTTATAATTTTGCTTATCCACCCTTTCTGGCTGTTTTAACAAAATAGTCAATGTCATGGGGACCTTGTGATCCTTACCTGCCCAGGGCCTCCAACAGGTTAAAAACGGTCCTGTTTATATTAAGAGTTTATTATGAATTTTCTCGTTATAATTAATACACTGTTATAAAAAGGTAACGTGCTACTATGGTTAGGTTACTGTTAATATCCTATTTCTATCTTCATAAATAAGGAAAAAAAAAACAAAAATAAATGGGTACGTGTTTTTTTTTCAGATTCTAAGAAATCACGTTATGGTACGTGTTGGTGGCGGCTGGGACACCCTGTCCCATTACTTAGACAAACACGACCCTTGCAGATGCAAAACTCAACACAGAAGTATGCAAGGGGCCAGGCTTGTCAGCAAACCAGGTGCCTCCGATTTACACAGAGCGCAGGTGTACTATGACAGGTAAATGGTTAATTTATTGTAATTTTTACAAAAAAAAAAACAACGCAAAACAATAACATGAATAAATTAATAGATAGATTCTTTTGAAAAGTCTGTTTTATGAACACGTTAATTAAGACAACAAAAGATGCTTAAGTAATAGCTTTAGTTCTTGCAAATATTGTTTGACGATAAATAATCTAAAAAATCACAGAACGTAATCAATCCTTTGTTCAGAAAACGCCATAAAATGACATTCCATAATACCTTTTACGAATAAATAGCTACTGAAACTGCAATAAAGTTCAAACTTTATTGTCTACTTTGAATGAATCGTAAAAATTGTTATTTTCATGCTGCAGAAGAAACTTACGAAACTAGACATAAAAAGCTAATGTGTAAAATATTCTGTACTGTTTTTCTTTACTGTTTACATGGTTGATAATTTTTCAAAATTTATTAACCCTTGGCATTGTGGTACAATAATTGCAACAGTACCTCATAAAAATTAAATGAAAAACGAATTATTTTTCGTGTTTATTACAAAAAAGACAAAAATCTAGTTTCTAATCATACGGCAAGATCAGAATAATAAGAAGGCGCCACCGATTTTTTTTTGTTTTCGTGGAACAGGGGAAATCTTCAAAAGACACCCAGCCGTCCGTACGACTGGGTAGTGTCGGATTCCCGAAGAAGAAGTCCTCGAACCTATCAACTAAAAGCCCTCTACCTCAGGTCGTTCTAAGACCAATTAAGGTCCTCTTCAGTCGACGGCACCGGAAGTGTGTGTACCACACGAACCATTTCAAACTATGTGTCCCCCCCTTATTTTGAAAACTGCTACATCTACCCACTTGCAGTTTTGAATATTTAATGGGACCCCATCGAACACAAAGAACCCCAAATTTCATTAATATTCCTATGATAATTTTTACTTACTGATTGACTCATCAGCCAAAAATTTAGACCACTTCTGAGTGACATAAAAATTTAGGTGTATACAAAGAAAAAATTTAAAAGCTACGAATTTAAACTGGTAAATATAAATACAACTGGCAAAATTATAGATTCAATATCAAAGAGCGTAATTCGGTTATACCTTTTATGAAACTTGGCATATCTCAACTCTTTTTTAGGCAAAGACAACAACCCCAAACAACCCAACCCTCCCTTTTCACATTTACATTTTTGTTAAGATTGGATTACACCGATGAAGGAAGTACTAACTAACTTATCGTTCATTATTATTAATATTTTTGCGGCCAGTATCACTACAAAAAGTTAAAGGCAAAACTCAATTCAGCCATAACATTTTCTAACAAAAATTTCTTTTTTCAGATCACCGCCTAGAAATTCACTACCGAACATACCAACAAATGGAATTCCTACAAAAGATTACCTAGGTCCTCCCATGAATTCTTTAAGCCGTTCTAGATCCCGTTCGCCTTCCCATCTTTCCTACACCGATTCTCGCCGTTCAGTTTCTCCCAATATGCCACGTAAAGTCCTTGCTCCTCCAGTTAACCGTTCAAGAAGTCCCACGCCAAATTACGTATCTACACATACCACAAAATTGTCAAGTCCAAAAAGTACTCCCCAAAGGGGATTATCGTCCAGTCCATCCGGCCCCCAATCTTTACCATATATCCCCACAAATTACAGCTCATCTCCAACGTACGGAACCACGAAACCACTTGGCCGCAATGGTCAAGATTGCAATAGATTAACGCTAAAATCGGAAACCAGTTTACAAGTCTCAGATCACTCCACCGACCACAGCGACAACGCTTCTGAAGTGTCTGACGAAGGATACAGAAGCTTGGGAATTGTTCACGACAAGACAAAAAATAGAGCTTCACTTATCAGTCAGAATTCTATTGAAGATGCAGACGAAAGTGGTAAGTTTATACTACGTATGTACACAGTAATTAAATATAATATGTAATGTTCCAAAATAGATTGTCAATTTCGTCCTGATCATTCCTTGTTTCAGAGCATCATGATTCTCTTGATTACGAAGACGATACAAACGATGCTGGTCTTCGCAAAACGAAATTTTCCTTCATCTACAACAGCAGCACTCCAAAACCGACTCAAAACAAGCCACAAATAACAAAAGAAAAATCCTTCGAACATCCCCGGAGTAAACCAGTGAGTCGATCAAACAGCAATGAAAGAAGTTCACCAGATCATCACGCCTCCCCCAAAACGACAAAATCCAACAGCCCTACGATGAAAAAGTCAACCTCCAAACCGAACATCAGCACTTGGAGCGGACGTCAGAAAAGCACTAGACCGTCGCTCACTGCAGACACCTTTAGCTCATCTCCACCTATTTCAGCCTTCAACAGAAACATTGCAACCAGAAGAAGTCTTTGCAGCCCCGCGTCGTACGCAAGAAGGACCACCCAGAGCGCAAACACATCTCCCACGAAAGGGAAATTGAGAGAAGAACTCCTCAAAACAGTAAAAAGTAACAAGGACGACGAAACGATTGCAGAACAGGTAAAAATATTACTAAGGAAATATGGCAGTTTAACAGTCCTTGATGACGACGAATTGATAGTAAATGGAGACGAAATGACTATCCACACGAGTCCAAGAAAAGACTCGAAACCTGGATACACAAAGCACTCAAGGATTCCTGCGCCTATTTCACACAAAATTTAGAAGAAAGGCCTTCTGTGTAATAAATTATGGGTGCAATAATGGTTTTATTTTAAAATAGAATTTAAATTAATTCGAGTGTTATGACACGAAAATATCATGACGTACCCCAGATGAATGAGAATTTTTTTTGGTTTTGAGAAAATCGTGCTTTAACGTTTATATCTTCTTGCCTTCTTTTTTGCTGTTTAAGATGAATTAACTTAAGATCGTTTTGACAAGGAGAGTTGAAAATTTCATCATCCAGGATATTAAATTTAATATTAAATAGGTACTGGTTTAGAAAATTTATAATAAACCTTAACAGGAACAAGAAGCCATTTTCAGATCTCTAGTGGAATTTTTTTCACTACCTTAAGGTAGATACTCAATTTAAATTTAAATCGATATTAACTTCTGATTATTACCTTTTATAATTTTTTGAATAAAATTCCACTGAGTACATAAAACCGATACAAAATGTGCGAACTTTCAACTCTTTTGCTTTAATTAGAAAAGTCTAAGTATATGCATAATAATTACGGGTTAATTTAAAAAAAAGAGTAGATGCAAAATTAAGCTTTATTGACGAAAGGTATTATTTTCAGACATCTAGGCCCGAAAAATTCCAGGAACGCAATTAAGTACTTACTAGATAGAAAAACTTGAAAGGTAAAAAGCTGCACCTGAGTAAATAATATTATAGTATAAGATGCATGCATAAGTAATTTTCCAAATTTTAATAATAAAAATAAAAATATATTAGCGGTCACGGGTCACCTGGCAAATGTGAAACATTGAAATTGATTTTTATTGAAGGAAATGAAAATGAAAGCATGAAAGAGAGTGGCAAGTCTTGACGGTGAGGCGGAAGGAACCGACGACGAGTCAGGAGACTGGCTGATCGAAGCGTCGTTCCATCCAAGAGCGTCGTCCCGTCTTGTTAACTCCACGTCGTGCCAAAGAGTGTTTCACATACATCAAAAATAATTACTCGTATATATTGCTTTATAATCAATTAATTTTGCATCTTCTCTAATGATTATTGTTAAATGCGATTGTATATTTAACCAATACCTTTAATTATTTACGCACCGTTATATAAAATGGTAAAGAATGAATTAGAACTAACACATTTGGTGCTATTTTTAAGAATAAGGCAATAGTTTAACGTGGCGTGTATGTACTTCAAAAATATATCATCTACCTACTGTGTATCCGGTTGCAGTATATGTCTAACTCTACTTCCTCTTTTTTCTTCACTTAATTGGTGCAATAAACCTTAATTTATTTATTTAACTCACTCACACAATCTTTCTCAATTTTCAATATTCCACAATAACACATTTTTCTTCGTTACTAAGACTGTCCACGTGATTCTTCTTGGCTCCAAAAACCAAAAAGAATTATAGAGACTAATTATGGCCTTTAGGTAACGCTTTTTATTTTTGACAAGTTTCTTGACTCTATTTCTATATATTTCAATACTTTTTTTTCACAGCTGAACCTTGCATTTCTCATAATACTGGATTAAGACAAAAATAAATCATCATCATTATTTACCACTTATCTACATTTATTAACATGCTTGGTACTTGCTTGAAGATAAGTGTTTCCAGTACCTACAGGAGAAAATATGAATAGTAAACAAGTTTATGAAACAACATTGCAAACATTAAGGGTGTATTTATGTGGAGTCAAATAATAATATAATATATAGACAATGCCTGATTTATCAATAGTATGTAGATAAATTGCAATTTTGTTTCATTTTGTTTGAAATTTGAATATGCAGGTTTATCGCCAATATTTTTATAGACATTCCTAGGCATTTTAACGTAGTTCTAAAGTAGATTTTTTATACTTTTGATAGGAAAAAAAGAAAAGCAAAGTAGATTAAGATTTTATAACGTTTAAAATATAATATAATAGAAACATCAAACCTAAATCCTTTCATTATTATCAGTGTTACCCCCTACTATATATCAAGCACCATAATCATTAAAAAGCAGATTGTTCTACTACTTTTTTTTTGCACTTTTTCCCTCTGTTTTTTTTAGTAAATATATTTTTTCTCTTATAGTTTATTTAATTAAGTAATTTAGGATTGTTATATTTCAATTATTTTAATTTTATTCACTTTTTTGTTTCGTTTTTCGTCAATTTGAATGCAGACTTTCGTGTATATGTTAATTTACGATAGATACTAGTTATATACTATTGTTAGAATGTTTTTAATACTTTCTTTGTGCGCAGGTAGCAGAAGTAGGGCTGCAAATTTTTATTATACAATTATAATATCATTTTTATTTACAAGTATTGTGTTATAAAAAAAAAAATAAAGACTAATATTTCTAAAACTGTTATTAGGAATTATTGAACACATTCATAATTCCTGTTCCAAGAATCCTTTATACTCCATTTGCGCATCCTGAAAAATATGCTGGGGTTCTATATTTCACACGCACTTTAATGTAGGTAATGGCACATCATAGTACACTAGATATTAAATTATTTCGGATTTTCGTGCCTGTCACACAATTTTAGAAAATGATTTGACTGATTGAAAATGATTTCCCAAAATTCTTGCATTATTTGTCAGAAGGCAGATGAAAATCTAACAGACGTGTTCCTCAAAAAGGAAGACATTACAAATTTGAAACAACAGCTTTCGTTTTGCGTTCCTGAGATTGTAAGTATTCAAAAAACATTTACACTAAACATGATATAAAATTATCTAATTGTCAATCAATCAGAATTGGAATTGTTCGGAAGTTCCGCCCTACGTTTGTGAATTATGTGTGGCAAAATTAAATGTGGCTGTAGATTTTCGACAAAAATGTTTAGAAAAATATGAAAGCCTCACAGAAACAATAACACCTGAAATTGATGAGTTGAAGACCAAATTAAAAGAACTCGAAAAAGAACGTCTGAAAACTGACCTTAAATGTTCCGACAGTCCATGCAAGTTAATAAAACGATTTTCAAGATTTAATATCGGAAATGCTAGGGGGTGTTACTCATGTAATGACTGCAGAAAAAACGGATCTTTATCGGTAGATAAAATTTTATCTGGAAGAGTTGTGAGGAAGCGCTCTAAGAGAGCAGAAGTTCTGCTCCCATTAGTACAAGATAAATCCGTAAACGTTTCAGAGGATGACTTATTAAGTTCCATCGCAAGTGATACTAACGAGAAACTGGATTTTGAACAGAAACTTATCCAGTATTATAAAGACACAGCTGATGGTACAAGTAGCATTGACTCGTTTGATAAAAGCACAACAGTTTCTAGATGCGGATATAATTACATAAATCCGTTTGTAAAAGACCACTCCAAATCTGCTACCGAGCAAATTTTGCAAGACCTTTGTACAATAGCTTTTCCTCTAACAAGCATGAGACACATATTTAATCTCAATAGAAACTATCAAATCAAAAGTAAAAGATCTGCGTCAGTTGAAAGCAGTAGAAAAGCCAGTTTGGATTCACTTAGTGAAAGTAATTCCTGGAAATACTGTACATATAAAAATTACACCCCATCCACATATTCATTTAAATCTCAAAGAAGCCAACGTTCTTACTTGAACGAGAGGACGCTCAAGTGTAACATTTGTGGAAAAGAATACAAATTTGAGAAGAAATACGCAAAACATATGCTGGATAAGCATGGAATTCAAAATGAAGATTTGTCCATAAACAGCTACAGTTGTCCCAATTGTAATCTTAAATTCTATACCCAAACTCAATTGGATAGGCACGCAAAAATACACTCCCAGGGAGCGACATATAAATGTGACTATTGTGAACGATGCTTTGTTCGTCAAGTAAATTTACACAAGCACATGAGAAGTAAACATGACAACGATTTATCCACTTTTGGCGATAAAAACCGGGAGAAGTCCTCTGCTCCATCGGATACTCCCAAAAGTGAATCTCAAAAGGTTTAATTACAATTGTCCAATAATTTGATGAGTATCTGTCATTTTTTTGTGAACAATAGTGTACTTAAGTAAAGAAGTAGCGCCAAATGTAACATTCCTTTGTATTTGAATGTGGTTTTTATTAATTCGTCGCATAAGTACTTATATAATAAACAATTCCATAGTATACATTACTTTTTTACAAATAGAAGAAGAAAATATTGCGGAAAATTCAAAAACTCTTCAATTACTTTTTTGTATACCTTACTTTCTACATTAGAAAAATTGCATCGTCTTAATTATAAAAAACATCTTAATTATTGAAAACAAATTGTGGAACACATTCATATAAGTGTGTAAAAGAAATAATTTGAAATTTGCGCTGTTTAACTTTAAGCAAAGTTTCAATTCAATTGATTAGTTTTTCATTAATTAAAAGCCCGTAATGTCAACGTGCTGTACTATAAGTAGAAGCCACAAAGTAGTGAAAGATTTGACGTCATAGTAAGGCAAAAACCATAGGCGTCCGGCAAATACTTCACAATTATGTGTTAAAATTAACTAAAAGTAACTTGAAATGTTAATTTATATTTGTTATCTTTACAGGGAATATAAATATAAAATAATGCTGATTGTGCGTGTACCACATATTTGAAAGTGTTGCCTTCTTTCTTGGTAAATGTATATTAAATTTAACGAAATAAAAATTTGGGGATACGCCATTGATCAATTTTTGCCAATTTTCTGACGTCACAAGAGGAACACGTATAAAATTTTAGCTTCTAATTTCCAGTAGAAANGATATCAAGTTGTAAGTGGAAATCTTCTGGTTTATGTCGAAGTTTGGAGTTGCATGTCGTAATTTAGTTGTAAATCGAAATTTTGAGTTGCAAGTCGAAATATCGGGTTGTAAGAGGAAATAAATGTATATTAAATTTAACGAAATAAAAATTTGGGGATACGCCATTGATCAATTTTTGCCAATTTTCTGACGTCACAAGAGGAACACGTATAAAATTTTAGCTTCTAATTTCCAGTAGAAAGGCATGCAATATAATACCCATTCAAATATTAGAGCAACATAACCTTAATAGTTGTTTTCAAAATAAAACAAAATGTTTTCTCTAAATTTGTGTAAGGTGTGTTTAATTAAAGAAAAAAATCTGACAAATACCTCAGTTGTTAATGAAGGAGAAACGAGTATAAATGATTTGCTTTTCTACTGCGTACCGGAGATTGTAAGTTTATTATATTTTGAGTGAATATTCATTAACACAAACAATAACAATGTTTAGGACTGGAATAAAGATACTATACCGCCGTATATTTGTGGAACATGTATTCAGGAATTAAATACATCAGTTAAATTTCGTCGAAAATGCTTAGAAAGTGATACATTACGACAAAATGACTTACAATGGCGAACTAATGATGTTCAAAGTAAATCCTTAAATATAGAAATTGCTGATGAATTGTTGAGTAAGTTAGATGTAAAATCTGTAACTAAGAAGAAAATTTTTACACCTGTTACAAAGAGTAAAGATAGAAAGCTTTTCAATTGTTCACAATGTCAAAAACAATTTCAATCATTTCGTAATTACAAAATACATGTAGGAAAAGCACACAAAGTAAAGCATAAAAAGAAAGCTACAAAAGAAAAGGGAAATTTAGGACAGGAAACTCATAAAGAACAAAGCAAATGTATTCAGAAGAGTTGTATAAGTAAGGAAAACCATTGCGCAGAAAAAAACTTATATAAGGAAGTCAATATTGAAAATGAACCTGCAGTAGACTGCAAAGACAAAATTGTTGTAAACTACGAATTTAGTGATTATAGTACAGACAAAAACAATAGTAGAACTATTTGTGAAAACAACGAGAATGAAGTGAAACAAAATATCAATTCTGAATTTCAGGCAAAATTTTTTCCAACAAAAAAGGATAAAAAGTGCAAAATTTGTTTAAAAGAGTTCACAAAAACTACTACATTAATGAACCACTTTAGAAGCATGCACTCATTTGAAAATTGCTTCAAATGCACTCATTGTGACGAAGCCTTTCCGAATAAGGAGCGTCTAGTGCGTCATGAGAATCATCATACAGGAGTTCGCAAATATATTTGTAGCATTTGCGGCAAGAAATTCTTTACCAGTTCCGACTTGTTTCATCATAACGAAAGGCATGCTGGCGATCGAAAATTTAAATGCGATATTTGCAATATCAAAAGTTTCACTACTAGAAACAACCTCCGAACTCACAAAAAAATAGTGCACACTGATCCAGAAGAGTGGAAATTTTTATGCACCAATTGTGGTCGAAAATTTGTCACCCAGGGCGCTCTTAATGTACATATGAAACGTCACGGAGACCGGAAAGAATTTCCTTGTAGCGTGTGCGACAAAGGCTTTTGTACAAAAGCCGAACTTGTGAAACATCTCAAGGCTCATTCAGATCAGAGAGAATTTAAATGCCAAGTTTGTGGGCAACAGTATAAATTGAAGGAAATATTGGAAAGACATTTGTTTAAGAAACACGGAATTGGTGACAAAGTTTTTCCAGAAAGAATAAAAAAACACTTATGTCCTGTGTGTCCTTTAAAATTTTGTTCAAGATTGCAAATTGAAAAACATTTGAGAGCTCACAATGGTGAGCGACCATTTAAATGTAGTTACTGTAGTCATTCATTCATTTGCAGTTCTTATTTAAAAGGGCACATCAAAAACAAACATCCTGCACATTTGCTTAAAGAGGAGAACGACTCAAAGGATAGAATTTTAATTGAGGTGTAAACTATTATTAATTAAGTATAACTTTTGTATACTCTTTTATACGGTTGTGATAATTATCATTTTAAAATAGATTTAAAAATATTTTCGTTTACAGTTTTTTAATTTCTTGTTATACCGAATTCGAATTTAAATTTCCGTTTAAACTCATCTGTGATATTGGTTGCCTATGTGGAGATCAATTTTCTCTAATTTATATCAATGACACAAACCTGTCTTCTATTGAAAACATAAAAACCTGAAGCCAAAATTATAGTAGTAGCTGACGTCAAATACGGGAAAAAAGCATAGGCGTCCAACAAGATTAATATTAAATTCAAATTAAATTTTGATTTTAAACATTAGAAATTGTTTTATATGTAAGTAAATATGAAGAGTGAATGTTATGCAAGCTAATCTATTACATATTTTTAGTTTCTGTTTGTTTAGTTGCATTAAACCCATAATTTCTTTGTGATAGTAAACTCTTGTGTTACGCCCATGACCAAATTTTTCAGATTTTCTGACGTCAGCTACGGTAAGGCTTGCAGAAGTTGAACTTCGTCGTTTCAGTAGAAGGCTCGAAGTTGTGGTGTGAGCCCGGCGATCCTCAGCTGATTATTTAATGACCAATAAAAGCCGGGGTTCGTTGTATTGAACTTAACCTTCTTTTGTGAAATAATTTGTACTTGTCATTAGTTTAAAAGTGATCGTTGGAAATAATTGGCTCGGTCTCAAAATATCTTGCTTAGTTCTTAGTTGAATATTTAAAAATTTGTTTCGTAACCATTAGCTTTTTGACACGACATCCAGTTAATGTGCGCATTCTCTAGTGTTGGTAGTTCATGTACTCTTAAAAAAATGAGTAGTGAATAACATTCGTTGAATTTTTGTTATTATAGTGAATTGATAGTTCAAGTAAGTATTGCCTAAACATGGCAATTATTAAAATAATCATGCTTACATGCTATTTGTCAGGTGCTTTTAAGCATAATTAAACCATTTTAAGTAGCTATTGTACTGATGTTTCCACATGGTTGGTTATGTATGTTTTTAATACCATTTATTTTATGCATAAAGCAAAAGTGAATTCATAAACTTCTGTTACTGGTAATTATTTGCTTTTCGCTGTATGTTTTTATTTTTGGCTGCAAAATACATAAAAAATCATAATTTAAAATAAGTACTACAATTTCACATCATTTACCTACTGTAATTACACAAAGACACAAAGGGTAGAGTATTGCCAAATTTCAGTCCTTTCATTATATTGTATTATGCGCCTTAGTTTTTAATTCAACATTACTTTTTCATATTTACCTTATCTTCTCATTTTCAAACAAAATAAATACCTTCAAATAAGAAGATATTCCTATGTAAATACACATATCATGTAGTAGCAACACTATCTTTACTATATCAGTATATAATCATTCATTTCATTTACCATTATTTAAGTAATTTTAAAGTATAAAATAGAGGCATATACTTTTAGATGCATTACATATATTTTGTGTATCATTTATTGTGTATGTATACTAACATGAACTTAGATTATATTTAATACTAATTGCATGCAAATTACATAGGTCATGGGTGGCAAACGAATTAGGTCTAGAAATGCTCAAAACTCGATATCGGTTTCAAATTTATCTACTAGATCTTCCATATCTGAATCACAGGATAACACAAATTTGGTTCGAAGCAAAACCACTGAGGACCTTCTTGCTTATACTAAAGACCAATTAAAAGCAGAATGCAGAAAACGAGGCCAGAAGACCTCTGGCACTAAAATTGAATTGGTAGGCTTTCTTAAAACTATTTTACAATTAAAAATTCAAACATGTCCTGGACTCACCTCAGTTTTTCTTTTTAATTTTAATACCTTACAGGTATATGTTGGCTTTCCTATAAAGATTTTTCTCTTGCTCGTTTTTCGTTTGCTAATAATAATAGTTACTTTTTATGTTAAATTTACTAGCTACAAAACGAGGTACCTTTCTAGTAATAAGCTCTTTTTAAAGCTGATGTAAACACATGTTTGGATTTCCTTGTTTTTCTTGCCTTTTTTGCATGAAATAGGTAGATATTTTTTAATAACTTGCTTGAATAGCTTTTGCTAAATATGGAAACACTATTTTAACTTATCGTTAGAGGGNTCGCTGTATGTTTTTATTTTTGGCTGCAAAATACATAAAAAATCATAATTTAAAATAAGTACTACAATTTCACATCATTTACCTACTGTAATTACACAAAGACACAAAGGGTAGAGTATTGCCAAATTTCAGTCCTTTCATTATATTGTATTATGCGCCTTAGTTTTTAATTCAACATTACTTTTTCATATTTACCTTATCTTCTCATTTTCAAACAAAATAAATACCTTCAAATAAGAAGATATTCCTATGTAAATACACATATCATGTAGTAGCAACACTATCTTTACTATATCAGTATATAATCATTCATTTCATTTACCATTATTTAAGTAATTTTAAAGTATAAAATAGAGGCATATACTTTTAGATGCATTACATATATTTTGTGTATCATTTATTGTGTATGTATACTAACATGAACTTAGATTATATTTAATACTAATTGCATGCAAATTACATAGGTCATGGGTGGCAAACGAATTAGGTCTAGAAATGCTCAAAACTCGATATCGGTTTCAAATTTATCTACTAGATCTTCCATATCTGAATCACAGGATAACACAAATTTGGTTCGAAGCAAAACCACTGAGGACCTTCTTGCTTATACTAAAGACCAATTAAAAGCAGAATGCAGAAAACGAGGCCAGAAGACCTCTGGCACTAAAATTGAATTGGTAGGCTTTCTTAAAACTATTTTACAATTAAAAATTCAAACATGTCCTGGACTCACCTCAGTTTTTCTTTTTAATTTTAATACCTTACAGGTATATGTTGGCTTTCCTATAAAGATTTTTCTCTTGCTCGTTTTTCGTTTGCTAATAATAATAGTTACTTTTTATGTTAAATTTACTAGCTACAAAACGAGGTACCTTTCTAGTAATAAGCTCTTTTTAAAGCTGATGTAAACACATGTTTGGATTTCCTTGTTTTTCTTACCTTTTTTGCATGAAATAGGTAGATATTTTTTAATAACTTGCTTGAATAGCTTTTGCTAAATATGGAAACACTATTTTAACTTATCGTTAGAGGGGATTAAGTGATGCTTATTATTTTGCTGTTTAAAACAATAATTTTTTGCTAGTTTTTGCCTTCATGTAGAATTCCTTTCTAGTAATAAGCTCTTTTTAAAGCTGATGTANAACTGTGGATGTATTAGTTTTTTTTAATTGCCTTAACAACTTTATTTAATGCCCCAATTGATGAATTTTGATTGTGCTATTTTTTTTTTGTTGCACAAGATGTATATCTTAAGGGATTGAATTTTTAAATTTCCTTCTTAAATTTTCATTTAAAACGAATATTTCTGAAAAAAATCACATTCATGGAAGGCTCCTACTATAGATGCTGCTTTTTTAAAATTATTCTTGCATAAAATTGGACACGTACACTTTTTTTACCTATGACTGTAAATGGGTAATGTTTCAATTCAATACTATTAAATTGTTTTTCTTTTATTTTGCCTTTGATCGTTTGTTTTCGCATTAAATCGGGAAATGCGAATAATAAAAGATTCAGGTGGGTCAGGCATCCGACCGACTCTATTGTTTTATGTGCCTACTTCATTTGTTTGTTTTATACAATGATTATTTTCTGGTGTACGGTATAAGGAGTTGACGACCCTTTTGCATTGTTTTTATGGTTAAAAAGTTATAGTGCGTGAAATAAAATCTTGCAATTAGCTGATTACACAAGCAACCGTTGAGCTAGTGTTTTATAATAACTTGTCGCAAAATGTTTCATAACTTTTGTGGTTTTGGTCGTGTGGGTTTAAAGTCAAGGTAACTACAACATTGTTATAAAATATCTACTTTTAAATTGTGTGATGTATATATTTGTTGATTGTATGTATATAATAACATATTAAGGACAGATAAGTGCAACCTGGCCATGTACTTATCGTTAATTACCTCGAGAAGAATTTCTTTTACTGCATACCTAGGTATGCACTTGGTTTAACAAATTACATTTACATTTTCAGATAATTACATATTTTTTATTTTGATTACCATAAATGTTTATTGGTGTTTATTGACAATTTTAAAATTTAGCATTGACTGGTACCTATGTTCTGCCTGACGCAACATATTAATTAAATTTAATTGAAAATCAATCTCAAAAAGATGTTTTTTATTATCAATTTAGTTTTAGTCCTATCTTGATCTCTACTTTATCGATTTTGATTGATTAATCAAACTTAATACTCTTAAGTATTATATGTCTACTTACAATAAGTTAGAATTTTTAAAAATTTGTTTTTATGAGTTCTCTATTTTATTCTAAATTATCACTTTTTTCTTTT